CCGCCAAAAACTTCTCATACCGAGGCTTGCATTTCCGCCGCCAATCCTTGCCCCAAATTATCATCGGAGCACCCGCGGCCATGGACAGGACAACCATGATACCATAGAAGGTAAAGGTCCAGCCGTAGTTGGTGCCGTCGATGAAATCCTGCACCGTGAAAGAGATGACGAAATTGATTATAGATGAACAGCAGGCCAGTACAATGACAAGCTCACCAGAAATCTGATTCGAGAGAATTAGCCACCATGTACAGAATCGTGGATGTAAATGACTTACCTGTTCAAAGCACTCCATCGCGTAGGCGGTTGCGATACTGGTGGCAGAGACCTGCTGAGCAATCATGCAACATAGGCCAACTGCAATGGACATCCAATGAAGGCCCTTGGTAGCACCCCAGCCGTAGAGAAAATAGCCAACCGCGGCAAGTACAAGGGGAATACAATACGTCCATAAACGCATCTCGGGCTCCTTATAACCCTTGTTGCGACGTGCCAAGAAGACGACAACCCAGTCGGACAGTGATCCAATACCCATGCTATAAGAGAGTCAGCGTTACTCATGAGGGTGTCAGGCTGAATACATACCCAAGAAAGTTACCAACTAGTGCTGCCAAGAAGATTAGGCCAGCAGAGCCGGCGCTCCAGTTATAAGGTGCCTCCGTCATGATCTCAGAGATGGTATTAAAGGAGACAATACCAGCAGTGCAGCCAAATGCAAATTGGATACCAGCTAGAAGAATATTGGGAAACGCGAAGAGAAAGAACGGGCGTCGAAAGTACTGGTACCAAGTTGTGTTGTCGTCTTTGAAGTAGTGAACTGGAGACATCTTCTGGAGGTAGGTTCGCGGAGGCATGTCAATCTCCCCGACAGTGCGGCTTTCCACGACGGACATTGGCGGTTCAACCTTGGAATCCTTTTCCTCCGCCGTTGGGGTGTCAGATGGAGTGCGGGCAGTATCGTTCTCGCCTTTGGTGGTTCGCTGAGGTGTCACACCCGAAAAGCGATACCTCGGGAACATCGTGTCATCAAAAGTGAAGATGAATAGAAGAATCAAGACAGCCTATAAATGTTCAGCTGGCTGATTGCAGCAGAGTATTTAGGGTGCGAGGGCACTGACACATGCTATGGACACGATGGGCATGCTCCACCTCCAGCCAATGCCGTCAGAAATGTAACCGCCACAGATCAGCCCGATGATAGATCCGAGTTGCTGAAAGAAAATGTAGATCGACAGCATTCGGCCGCGCTCATGAGTGAAAAACACGTCGAAAATCTATGCTCTGTTAGCGTACGGAAGCGAGCATCTCAGAAACATAGCATACAGTTAGCTGAATCAGAGCCTGGTAGGCTGCAGTTCCGATCCCGTTGATCACCATCATAATGTAATACTGCGAAACACCCTGATAGAAACCACCCCAGATACCACTTCCAAGGACGAACAATAGACTAAGTATATAGACAATCTTGCGTCCGTACCTCATGGCCGTGGGGATCCAAATAATATTGAAGAAACCCAGCATAAGATAGTTCAAAGCGGAGCCACCGTTCATATTGTTCAGGCTCACGCCCGTATCATCAGATATAGCTGTCCATGCCGCACCCCAGTTGTTCTCCCCAAAGGAGTTAACGCAAGCATACATGGAGATCAAGAACAGGGTCCAGTATTTCTTGTAAAGAGGCCAATTCTATTGCGGGTCAGCACGAACCGTGTGGAAGAGGTATGTGTTCATCTGCTACCCACCAGAGGATCAGCTGAAAAGGATGTAGGCTGAGGGACAAGGAGGATATCCCGCTTCCCAGCATGAGCTACATCTCTCAAGCTCCCCGTTGCTGAATTCGATGTCAGCACCGATTAACTGTAGCTTATAGGAAGAGCCTACCATCAACCAGGTACACCGTTCCTGGAACATCGGTATCTATAACATCAGAGCGAGCCATCTTGGCTTTGTAAGTCAATACGGAAGCAGAAAGGCAGCCATGAGGGGGGGTTGTAGCGTCTTTTTAAGGATGATTACTATCTACTAGCGGCAACAACCATGCTAGACCTGCGTACGAGCTCGTCGAAGTATATAGAGCACTCCAAGACCCCGTTTTGGGGTCCGATTGGATGGTCATCCCGAGCATATCAGTGTGGAGAAGCACGATAACATAACAGGGGATGATCATTTGCCTTCTCTCGTCTGCCACGCTCTGGCGAAAGCCAGCGGCAAAATAATTAGAACCGGCTGAATGGAGCATTCCCGAGGTGATAAGGTATGGGTGGAGACGAAGAGACACGAGAAGTATTGCGAAGATAGTCAGTCACAGATAAGTTAAGTCATGGAGGAAGCTCCAAACGAAAGGTTATCTGAGCGGTTGATATCGATTAAGCCTGCCGAGGCGGAGGAAATGCGGAGAAGCTGCATGCTTTCGCCGGTTTGACATGGCTTGAAGTCGGTATCATCCGCACGCAAGTGGGTCATTGCTGTAGACGACCCTGATAGCGTCCACGGAAAAATCCCGGACGATCATTGACGCGAGTATTCCCAAGCATCTGGGGGTCATGAATGGATGATGGATGAGAAGACCGAGTGATACGAAGACCCCAAGGAAGGTCCAACCGGGACGCTAATCTAGATCGGGAACCCCGCCACGGACACTATTCAGTGGCCTGGTTTGAGTTGCTTCCATCTTGCCGGGACTTTGGACTCTGGATAAGGCCCAGCCAGGTCCCCATTGTGCCCAATGCTGGCAGTTAGTTGGCACTCAGTGGATACCGTCTGATGTAAGGGCGCCGTTGAAATACGGCCTCGTTGCCCGTCCACATCAACATCACTGCAACAAATCAGTTCCTCAATACTCTCGAGTCAAACAGAATTCGCAGTCACCATGGCATCCTCTACAGTAACCCATGATTCTACCATCCTCGTGGTGGGAGCGGGTGTTTGGGGTTGTTCTACTGCTTTGCATTTGGCTCGCCGCGGATACAAGCATGTCACAGTTCTAGACCCCTACACGATCCCATCCGCAATCGCAGCCGGCAATGATATCAATAAAATCATGGAACACAAGGAGCCCAAAGGTATGATTGCAGTGCCCACCTGATGCCCATTTCTTTAAATCTAACAACTCCGACAGCAGGTGAAGAAACGCCGCGCAGCATTGCATTCGCGACGTGCACACGTGCTGCTCTGAAAGCCTGGAAGACGGATCCTGTTTTCAAGCAGTACTTCCATGAGACTGGTGTCATAGTATCTGGCCATACCCCTGCACTCATTGAGCACATCCGCAAAGATGAGATCGAGTGTTCTGATGCAGACTTTGTCGAATTGAAGACGGCAGAAGACTTCCAGAAGACGATGCCTCCAGGTGTTCTCACTGGGGAATTTCCCGGCTGGAAGGGCTGGTTGAACAAGTCGGGTGCCGGATGGATTCATGCCAAGAAAGCCATGATTTCTGCGTACACTGAGGCCAAGCGTCTTGGAGTCAACTTCATCACCGGGTCTCCCCAAGGGAACGTTGTATCACTAGTGTACGAGAACGGAGATGTGGTTGGAGCTAAAACGTCCGATGGAGTCATTCACCGAGCAGACCGAACCATTTTGGCTGCCGGTGCCGGAAGCGACCGTCTTCTGGACTTCAAGAAACAGCTGCGTCCTACTGCCTGGACGCTCTCTCACATCCAGATGACCCCGGAAGAGGCTAAGTTGTACAAGAATCTACCCGTGCTGTTCAATATTGCAAAGGGGTTCTTCATGGAGCCTGACGAGGATAAGCACGAACTTAAGATCTGTGACGAGCATCCTGGATACTGTAACTTCATTCCGGACCCGGCGAGATCTGGCGAGATCAGAAGCATCCCATTTGCAAAGCACCAAATTCCCCTTGAGGCGGAAGCTCGCGTCAAGGATTTCCTGCGGGATACCATGCCACATCTGGCCGACCGTCCACTAGTGTTCGCCCGTATCTGCTGGGATGCCGATACGGTAGATCGTGCCTTTTTAATCGATAAACATCCTGATCACCCTTCACTGTTGGTTGCTGTGGGGGCATCTGGGAATGGAGCTATGCAAATGCCCACTATTGGAGGTTTCATCGTGGATGCACTGGAGGGTCATCTGCAGGATGAACTGAAACATGTTGTTCGGTGGAGACCAGAAATGGCGGTCGACAGAGACTGGAAGTCGACACAGAACCGATTCGGAGGACCAGATGCAGTTATGGACTTCCAGAAGGTTGGCGAAAATGAATGGACCAATATCAAGAGCCGGCTATAGATGAGCTGGTATGTATGCGAGCGGAATGTAAATAGTGGTTTGACCTTGAAAACGCATATGGTTATACCTTCCACGATTACTCCTCTCCCTCAGAGGAAACTATGATTTGTTGGCCTAGTAAGCACACACACTCAATCAGGATAAGTTAGTCTGGGATGCTGGGGTGTGTATTGCCTCGAGATATAGAGATCTTGGTTAGGTAGACATCAGGGAAACCTTGCTCATCAAAGGGGTTTGAAAAATTTGGCGTTGGTGAGTTCATGATAGTGGTGCTTGGAAGAGTGACCAGGCTTGGGCTCCCGATTGTTATTCAAATAGACGAACAATCTGTGCTCAACAAAGATGGGACGTGGCTTTGCAAATCACCTTGGAACAACAAGGATTTCGAGATGGCTTGTGTTCCCAATGATTCTATGAGTCCCGGGAGATAGTGCCCGCAACAGCGGAAGCAATGTTGCCAGCAGGTCTAGGGCCTTGAATGTATGGCGCATTCTTTTACGGAAAGCCACAGATCGCTGGTTGTGTCTCTGAGAATAGGTCCTCACATTAGGCATGAGTGTGCCCCAGCTGAAGCGCTGTGAAGCCACTGAGAGCTCTCGATGTGAAGTTCTTGGTGGTGTCAGAGTATGCTAACCATATCGAATGACAAATATAGACGTCAAATTTAAATCGTGGCTGATTAACTAGGAACCATTCACCGAGACTCTGTAATGACTAATATTTAACTCTCTTTTCCGCATCAACTTTCCCCCTCCCGAACATACTCAGCATCATCCAAGATCTTGCTTTTGCTTTGGCAACAATATCTTTCTCATCAACACAGTCGCCGCTACAATGGATAGACCAGGAGCAGCACCAGACTCCTCCACCCCGGCTGAAGAGCAGGCCGACATTCTAGACATCTTTGTATGTCACAGAAAGTTCCATACAGTCATTTCACAGCTGTTCAGTTTGGTTGATTGTTACTTCCTAGGGCTACCGTGAAGTCGTCCCCGAATGGACTGACGACCCCAGAGCTTTTGAAGGATGGTTTCTCCCCGGTACTGGGGAATGGTACATGGCACGCAGCTATGGGATTACCGACCCTACGCTGGTCCTTATAGGGACTAATAATAGTGGAGAGATGGGCTATATTATTACAGCTAATGGACGGTACTATTGCGGAGATCTTTTAGTCGACTATATCTTCGAGATAACGGCACCGAAGACATGGCCAGATATCCTGGACGTTATGAGGGCGAAGGGTATAATGGGGCTGAAGATGAAGGAGCTTAAGCCTGTTGAGCTGCCTGATGATGATGATCTACCAGCGCCGAGGGTCTGAGAAGGGGATGGTGTGTTTGTTTCTGTCGGCCAGGACGCTCCTGCTAAAAGCAGACAAGATGAATGAGGCCCGTTTAGGAAATATACGGACATCTTCGAATTGCACGGAAGATCTATCATTGTAGATACGTAGAGAATTATTCAGATAGGTAATCATTCTCATTTGCTCAAAATGACAACAGAAGTTCTTTCTCCGTGGCTCAATGGCCGTATCGACTTACGTGCTGCGTACACTTTCCCACGTGGCACGATTCTGGCGTGGCTGCGGGATATAACAGAGCATCCGGAGATGTATGGGGTGCCCACTGAGGACGTGACCGACCTGCTGTTGATTCAGCAGGATATCCTTAGACTTCGGTAAGCAAGTGAGGTATAACCAACCCTTTGTTGAGCCTTATGGACTGACGTCTACCGAAGTCACCCCGATGGGCCCGACTACCTCGTTCCTCCTCCCCCCCAGAGCATCGCCCGTGTTAACAATCCGAGCTGGCCCAATGCGGGCTCACCTATTCTTATAGATAGGTTGACTTACGACAAAGTGCCATACTGGGCGCTTCCGGACCTTCTTGGCCTATTCATGAGCAGCTTGGACGGAGTCCCGCTGGAGCAAATAAAAGGAACTTTTACCTTCCGCTCACCGCGGTTTATGGAATGTGGTGTAAGAAGCTCATTGGAGAAGGGGCTACGCCATACGTTTTCCAGTGTACGTGGAATGAGGAGGGAGACTTTTTCCTCGGTGCCTCGAGAGGAGCATACAGTCTTCGATCAGAGCGACCCTGGCTAGCCGTCATCGACCGTGCCCGATTTGGCGTTATCAAGTCTGAGCCATTAACGTTGGCCGGCTGATCATTGGCCCGATCACCTCTCATGGAGTGCAGAAAGAAGAATGGAAAGCCATTTGGACGTTGCGCCGAGACATACCCTTTCTGCAAGCTCCTCAAAACCTGTGGGAAGGGACAAGCCGAGAAGGTATATGGTCTCGCTTTGTCCAGGCCGTACTTGTCTTCTCCTCACTATGACGATCGACTATCTGGGCCGATCTGGGCGAGGTTATGGAAGCCTTGTTTGAACTGCAAAGAGCTCATCAGAATTCACGGTGGCAAGTACGAGAACTTCCTCGTTGCCACTGGAAGTGAAGGCGCTCCGCCCTAATTGCTCGATCGACGGCTAGCCAGGTCGCGAAAGACCTTGGATATGTCTGTAAAAGGTCCCACCTGTGCCTATTGACCGGGTCAGGTGTCTTGAGGGAGAAGGAAAGAAAATACCTGATCCCGGTAGGGGCCTCACTCCATCCGTGGAGTGGGTAGCCATCCTTTGTGGCCTGACACACCCAAAGGACCTACCACCGTCTCGCGGAAAGCAAACCGCGTTACCAAACTCCGACGGAGAATGTTGAAAACCGGGTGACCCTGACACAGTCACTGACGGCGACAAACTGGATACGTTGTTCAAACTGTCCCGTGGAAAGCAAACCATCGTCAGACAACTCCGAAGGAAAACGTTGGGATAACCGGGTGGCTTAGCCACTGACGAACCTTGGCATGTTTTTAAAAGGCCCTCCCCCTCCGGGGACCCCGATTTGTTCACACCCATGTGCGTTTGGACGCTACGGTGTCGGGGATCAGTAACCTTTCGTCTAATCCTCGCTGAGGCCGGTATACCACCAAACAGGATGATCAATAGCGAAAGGTGAAGCCAACGTGAACGATTCTTTGACAGCAGGCTTGGACTATCAAAGCAAACTGTCAACCTGCCTGTTCGCAACGAAACAAGCAATGCCACCGCTACCATCGAGCCTATCTTTTCGCCGGTGTCACACCCAGCCAAGATTGGGAAACTCGCTCTAGCCATTGCGAACAACTTGTGTCATACTACTTCAAGTACGCCGTACCGCCAATACTGCGAACGAATGCCAAGATTAATTGAAAAGCGTGCGACTAAGTACGCACGATCACTTCCTACGTGATGACTGCATCGCACAAACATCAATTACACTGTGTCATCTACGACTATAATGTCCGCTTTGTCAATTCTTTACGTGTCGTATGGCTGATTTTTCAAACCGCCTCTGTCCAAAGCTCCTCTCGCCGACTCGTGAAAACTATCTCTTACACAAACCTTTAGTCAATGCCTTTTGAGTCTAACATCGCTTCGCCGGGCCTCCTGGCATGTACTTTCATTGGAGAATGTTACAATCGCCTTACTATCCAGAAACCTCGCCCAGAGACGGACTGGATGTCCGGTCTAGAACCTACTTTGGGCTACACTCCTTCAAAATCAATCCGCTGGGAGGCTTTTCTGGTCTGTATCGAAGTTTAGAGAACGCGGAGGAATTTTGATCCCTTTGCTGGTTCATATCCGCTGTTTACTGCCACCTAACCATGCAAGGATATGAAGGAAAATGACCAAGAACCTTCCCCTCATGCCGATGATGGGGTCGTGCACTTCCATGTCAAAATGAAGGCTTCAGGCCAATCTGCTCGATGCGACTATCAGTGTAGCCATGGATGAATGCACTGAACGCGAACAACTACGACCAGAGGTATTTCTCCTTTATCTTCGCTGCTCTATAGTGGGGATGCCATGGGAAAGTCTAGCTACGGCGACTAGTCGCCTATCCTGCATGTCTCTCATTCTTTTGGTCTACTGTTTCGCTCACTCCCAGTAACGCTTGGGATATGGTGTGCGGCCTATGGTGAAACGCGCAATGGGGAGAGCATGTCAGAGGTCTACAATCACCAAGATACACTACTTTATATTGATGCCTTTAGAAAAAAGATAGCGCTTCCCTTCGGGATGATACGTTGTCTGGCCCTCATCCACCCTGGTTGGTGTGGGGTAGCAAGGCCAGAACAGGAGTCCCCAATCAGCAGAGAATGCGTGGTCAGAGTGTGTACTAAATGATGAAGTAAATCCTTGATCGTGGCTGACTCACCAGGTCCAGCCATTAGGATGTGGTCAGCCCCTCCTTCAGTAACTAAGTATTTTTTAACGAACATCTTCTTACATTACACAGAACCCATGCCCCGGAGGAGCACCTCGACTACATAGTGACATACGTCGGCGCGCTATATGCTACCTTTCTGTGTAAAAATGCCGGGGAAATCGGTTTGTACAAGAAAACCTGCTTCATCCCCTACAACCAGCTAACATATCTCTACATTAAGCACGGGGAAGTCAAAGTGACTAGATTTAATGACTTTCAAGCACCTTTCAGTCCTGTCAGACCAACAGTGTGTGCCTACTAGCCCAATAAGAACGTGAATCAATATATCAATGATCGTGCCTACACGATAATTGGCTTCTTCTAGCCGGACTTTAGCGAGGAAATCTAGTTAATTACTACCATGGCCTCCAAAAATCAGACTCCTGTTCGTTGCAGTATGTTCCAGAATCCCTCACATGATAGCCGCCTTGCGCTAGTTTGGCTGGACTGCTTTGATGAATCTAGAAGAGACTAAGTACCTTGCAGTTGTACTATCATAGTTGCTACAGTATGCCTGATACCCTGTAGATGCATGCGACTCTCGAATACTTCAACAAGGCACTTGTTAGTGGCATAAACCCGGCGCATCAGCTCCTTCATGCAAAATCAAGAACAAACTTATGACGTGTAGATGGCTATGCACTAATTAAACAACCGAGGGGCCGAGCCTCTGATCTCTTGTGTTTCACAGAGCTAGTACATGGCGCTGCAGTGAGTCATTGACGCCTACTATAGCTATATCGATTCCGCTAGTCCAGGTAGCGAATAATCTGAAGCTAAAGAGTTATGTAATTCTGGAAAGCCCTACGAGATGAGAGAAAAGGAGATCTTTTCTTTTTGTGATATTCGGTTGTATAGATGTCTCGAAGAGGCAAAGTTAGAGCGAGCTTGTAAGCTTCATCTCAATCTAAGTTCTGAAGATCCCATAAGACAGGATCCTTACAATAGTAAATGATCTAGCCCCTTGGTTAGGCAGAACCATACCATATGAAACCTGGGCCTTATGAGCATCAGCAATACAACGATAAGATAGTTTGTCGATGACCAGTAGTAGCTGTTGACTGGGTTGAGCAACTTCCTGCGAATGATCACTGGACAGTCTGCATTATCGCTTCCAACGCAGTATAAGGGAGCGACACTTTGCCATTGGACGTCAGACAGTATTCCAGCGGAATAACAATGCGTCACTGTAGATTGCAGCGCAAATAGGATCCTTGTATACTAGTGTTGGTGATCAGGTAATTGAGGCAGGGAACGGGAGAAGCCGTCCAGATCATAGCGTTGCCCCAGACTGGCAGGCCAGTGCTCCACTGAGGATGAACGGATGGTAGATCCTAGATCGCTCAATACAAATCCCAAATATAAGCGCCTGCTGATGACAAGTAGTAGCTTGAGGGTAGGTGAGGGGATGGTCGACATTCCGCGGAAGGAAGCGGCCGGGCACCGGGGAAGAAGATGCGATGGAAGCTTCTTGAAGCATCGCAGCCAAAGGCTGGTCCAGCCCACTTCCTCTCCTCTTTACCTCGTTCACCTCCGCACCTTAGCTCTTCCTTCTCCCTCCACCTCTCATATTTGTCCCATCCCTGTTTCTACAGCTTCTCCCTTCGTGTAACCTTCTTCTCTACCTCCCTCTTCACTCATAAACTCCTTTTAACCGCCATAATGGCCGACTCTGAGCGTACGTTCGACTCTCTGAAAGCGGGGGATGCAGTCTCAACAGCAGAATACAATATTGATTGCGCTTAATTTCACAGGCCGCCCCCGTGTTTTCTTCGACATCCAGATCGGTAAACAGAAGACCGGTCGCATTGCTCTTGAACTGGTATGTTCACCATCCTTCTTGTGCAGCATTTACCTGTCGTGTTTTATGCAGCCTCGCTAACTACCCCGCCTGTGCAGTTCAACGATGGTACCGTGCAGACTCCCCTGTAGAGGAATTACGCGCAGATTCCTAACCATGGGCAAATAATAGTCGTTCCTAAGACTGCGGAGAACTTCCGGGCTCTGTGCACTGGCGAAAAGGGCATGGGCAAGCAGGGCAAGCCATTGCACTTCAAAGGTACGGTGGTCCAATTCGGCAGCTTCAGTTTTTCCTCCCCCTCCCCCGCTCCGGCGGGGCCGCGTGCGCAGAAAGTACACAAAATCACCAGAACATATCACTAAACAAAACACCGCTCGATAGGCTCCATCTTCCACCGTGTCATTAAGCAGTTCATGATTCAGGGTGGTGACTTCACCGCGTTCAACGGCACGGGCGGCGAGTCGATCTATGGCGAGAAATTCCCTGACGAGAACTTCGACCTCAAGCATGACCGTCCCTTCCTTCTCTCCATGGCCAACTCCGGCCCCGGCACCAACGGCAGTCAGTTCTTCATCACAACCGTGCCCACCCCCCACCTGGATGGCAAGCACGTCGTCTTCGGTGAGGTGATCAACGGCAAGAGCGTTGTCCGCAAGGTCGAGAACATGTCTACCCAGGCCGACAAGCCCACCACCGACGTCACTATTGTCGACTGCGGAGAGCTTACCGGCGACGAGTACGAAAACGCTGATAAGCAGATCCCCGACGCGACTGGCGATCCTTATGAGGACTTCCCCGATGACCACCAGGGAGAGGAGCTGAGCGCCCCTGTCTGCTTCAAGATTGCGACCGAGCTCAAGAACTTTGGAAACACCGCATTCAAGAGCGGAAACTTGACCCTCGGTCTCGAGAAATACCAGAAGGGTCTGCGTTATCTCAACGAGTTCCCCGAGCCCGATGAGCAGGACCCCAAGGATCTGGACCCCCAGATGAAGGCGCTCCGCTTCACTCTGCACTCGAACTCATCTCTGCTTGCTAACAAGCTTGGTCAGTTCAAGAATGGCCAGACCTGGGCTACTTATGCTCTCGAAACTGCTGCTGCTGCAAACGCCAAGGATGCCGACAAGGCCAAGGCTTACTACCGCCGCGCGGTGGCCTACAGCGGTCTGAAGGAGGAGGATGAGGCTCTCAAGGATCTCCAGGAGGCTTCTCAGCTGGCTCCTGGTGATGCTGGCATTACCAACGAGATTGCCCGGGTCAAGAAGGCCGTCAAGGACCGCCAGGCTCGCGAGAGGGCTACCGCTCAGAAGTTCTTCTCGTGAAGAGACCAACGTCATGATTCATGATTGCATGATTTAATTTTCCCGTTTCTTAAAATCCCCGGCCTTGGGTGAAAAGTGAGAACTAAGTCTAATCTCTCTTACAACCATTGCATTGGATTGGTGCACAATAGGAATTCTTTCAAAGACCTTTACTCATCCTCAGCGGCTATGCAACGACGTACGGGCTTTGCGCTTCGCTTCGAGTTGGCTTCTAGGCTATGCGGTTCAGCAGACCAGAGCACTCTGTACAATAGAAAGGAATCGAGTCCCGCAGGTAAAGTAGCGTTATGCGCTACGAAACCAGGTCGATGAACGTATCTTTCATCTATACTTGAGAATCGTAGGCTTCTTACGGTCCGTGGCCGTGATCCATTGATAGTGAAGTAGTAACAACTTCCTTGCCTGCCAGATCTTGGGCCTTTCAAAATTGCACAGCCCGATACACCATGCACTAGTACACAAATCGTGCTGGAAATTCACGGAACACCAGATGCTACCTGTACGAGCGGTAGCTGTTCTATGTAATATTCAGTAGCAAGTTTCAAGTAGTCCCAGTTACATAGCACACCCGTCTATGCCTCGCATCTATTGATTGGTATCACATGGTATATACAATTTGACTTGAAAGGAAAGAAGTTGGTCCGTCGGCCGTCATAGCCACCCAGAATCATTTCTTTTCCGACCGACCGCAGAGGAATCAACATATATTCATCCATCCATCGAAGAAGCAGTTCACTCCATCAACTCCGCCGGCAACTTAAACTCGAATGTCTGCGGCTTTCCATCCTCCTTGCCAGGCGGTTGTTCCTTTTTCTCCTTCTTCGGTAATTGCGTATTAATCTCGATTGTGACCTGTCACACACAAAACACAGAACGATTAGTATATATTTCGAGGACATATAGGAATTAGCAGGAAGAGGAGAAGGCAAGAGCTTTACCACCGCATCTTCACTGCGGTAATCTACACCCACCGGCCCGTCGTTCTTCAATTCGACCTCCATCATCGCCTGGAAGACCCCGTTCTTCACCCGTTCGGGCTTGTACGAGTCGCTCAACCGTTGAATGAAGTAATCATACAGTTTGCGCGCGGTCTCCGCGTCGGCGGCTTCATGGAAGTCGGGCTTGTTGCCCTTTTTTAGGTGGCCGTAGAGTGTAAATTGGGATACTGGATTATTGTATGTATAGTTAGTAGGTGGGTTTCTTGATTTTGGGTTGGTTTGTGTTGGTTAGGTCAGGTTGCGCATACCGCAGAGGATCTCCCCATTTATGTCCTGCACGTTCTTCTTCCACTGGTTGTTGGGAGAGGTGGGTTAGATTTGCTTGATTGGTATTGCGGGGAAGGGTATTGGTTGTATATACCGATTTGTCGTTCTCGTCGGGCCATAGCTTCGCCTTTAATACCCGCCCGATCATTGAGTCGGCATCTTTCTCGGTATCTTCCTTTCCTATGCCGGCAAGGACGAGAATGCCTTGTCCGATCGAGGAGATTAGGTGGCCATCCACGGTGACCGAGGCGGATTTGACTCGTTGTAGGACGGCTGAGGGGCGACGCATATTAGTTATTGGTTATAAGGTCGGGCGGGATTGCATTGCGCACCTTTCATGGTGATCTGTTATGAGTCGTTTTAGGGGAGTAAGAAGTAAGGCAGCATGCGCTGAGGAGATAGGGCTCTGAAGACAGTCGGAATTGGTGTTGCGCTTTCTATGAAATGGGGGTTTGTCAGTCACTTGATGATCGATCATCGGACGGACCAAATGCGGCGGGATACTGAAAACGGGAAACACACAGACCTAAGAATCTCAGGACATTAGCGGAAGCGGAGGCAGACGTAAAGTATCCTGGAATGGCTAGATCATCAATAAGTTCAAACAGATCCACAGCAATATGAGCAGCTGTGCGAAATGGCTGAATCTCGAACCTGGGTTCGCCTCCACCCAAAGTAGAGAACGGGCATGAATGTGAGTGCTTGTGAGCATTTGTGACCGCCTACCGCTTTAGGCCTCTATCCCAGCTTCTGGACGACCAGACAAAGTATCAGGAGATTCACTCGTCTAAAGAGCTTCGCATATACAGACACGCTCGCGCGCGTTTGGTGTTGAGAGTTGCCTCGCGACGCGTTCTCATAGTATTCATCTTTTCTTTACATACGCACTCATCTCCCTCTGTTCCATTCCTTCGACCCCCTCCCGCATCCTCCTGCTACCTGTATTCTGACCAGCCTTCGAGATTTACCGACCTGTGCATGGTAAATCGCAGCAATGACGTCCCGGAAGACGCAGCAGGAGATCGACAAGACCTTCAAGAAGGTTGCCGAGGGTATTCAAATATTCGAGGGTATCTATGAGAAGATCCGGTCAACATCAAATATCACGCAACGGGATAAGCTCGAGGAGAACCTGAAACGGGAGATCAAGAAGCTACAACGATATCGTGACCAAATCAAGTCATGGGCATCAGGAAATGAGGTCAAGGACAAGGGGCCGCTGCTAGAGCAGCGCAGGGCCATTGAGACTGTGGGCTTATCCGATCCCTGTTGAAGCGCTTACTCAATGAGGGGCTGCTGCTAACTTGTGTTATCTGATAGTGCATGGAACAGTTCAAGGCGGTAGAGAAGGAGATGAAGACAAAGGCATATTCGAAAGAAGGGTTGTCGGCTGCATCCAGATTAGATCCTAAAGAGAAGGAGAAGGTCGAGACTTGCGACTTCCTATCGAACATGGTGGACGAGCTGCAACAGAAGATCGAATCCTTCGAAGCGGAAGAGGAAACGCTTCACATGCAAATGAAGAAGGGCAAGAAGGATGTGGCCAAGACGAATCGCCTGTCAGACCTTTCACGCTTAACAGATCGCCATAAGTGGCATGTCAATAAGTTGGAACTGTTGCTACGGTCGCTGCAGAACGGAAACCTCGAAGTCCCTCAGGTGCTGGATATCAAGGAAAGCATCAAGTACTACGTGGAGGATGGGCACAACATTGACTACTCTGGTGAGGATGAAACCTTGTACGACGACCTGAATCTGGACAACGAGGCAGAGGTGCAGTTCGGCATGACAGGGGACAACGACAAGGTATCCTCGCAAGATACGCAATCGATTCAAGACGAGGAGCCGGAAATCAAGCCCAAGGTCAACAAGGGTGAGAGCGCAGGACTTCGAAGGCCATCTGCACAGATGAAATCGCCTCTACCTGTGTTAGCAACACTCCAATCGTCGACCTCCACGACTGCCGCCTCAGGCATGAAACCCGCACCACCGCCTACCCGCCTCCCCGGAGAAACACTCAAGTACGCATCCGCTGCCGCTGCAGCTGCAGCAAGTGACAAGAACGGGGTGGGCATTGCACCACTTCCGCCACCTCCAGGCGCAAGCCCCGCTTTCCCGCACGCTGTGCCTGCAAACAAAGCTTCAGCCACTGCCTCGCCGAGCGTTGCATCGGTACAACCTACTTCATCCAAACCCGCACCGGTCCTCACGATAGCGGCGGAGGACATCACCGGTGCACGATCAAAAACACCTTCCGTCAGCCCCAACGTGGCTGCTGCGAGCACATCGTCACAAACAATGGAGAAAGCGGAGGCCCCAGCAGCTGCCAAGGAGCAGCCCGCGCCGAACGGTGAGGCGACGAGTAAGCAAGAGGAGCCGGAGAGCGAGGAATCGATCTTCCACCTGCCTCCCGGCCTGCAGGATCTTATTCAGTCGTTCGAAGTCACGAGGTCCCGGGCGTCAGCAAGCACCGCCAACGCGTCCCCGTCAGTGCAGCGCATGCTTGCAACATCCCTCGCGAACTGCCCGGAGCCTGCCGATGCGGAGAAGCCTCGTCATTACAAGCCTCAGAACCCTTACAATACGCCTCTATACTATCCTCAGGAACCGCTCACCATCTTTGATGATCCGCGCTTGTATGAAACCGGGCGCATTGACACGGATACACTGTTCTACCTGTTCTACTACCGACAAGGCAGTTACCAGCAGTATCTCGCGGCCAAGGCATTGAAGAACCAAAGCTGGCGTTTCCACAAGCAATATCAGACCTGGTTCCAACGTCACGAGGAGCCGAAGACGATCACGGAGGAGTTCGAGCAGGGCACATATCGCTTCTTCGATTATGAAAGTACATGGTAAGTAACCCACTCGGAGAATTCGAAAACAGCAGAGAGTATCCCGCTAACGAACAACCCTTGCAGGATGAACCGTCGTAAGGCTGACTTCAAGTTCGTCTACAAATACCTGGAGGATGAATTGTAATCGAATGATGCACAAACATGAGAGGTCTCTGTACATGGCTGGGTTCGATGAAGATAAGTGGAAAAGTGCCTCGGTCGGTTGGGTTTGGCTTTATTAGCAAGGATGCACGGAAATATGGGAGTTAAGTTTAATCAATGTGTCTATGCAATTGGTGATTGTGTTGCCATCTGTTTAACGATCTGTTGTTTCATCCAAGTCTTCGGAGGGGGGGGGAGCATGCAGGGACGAGTCTACGAGACATGGGAGTTCTGTGCTGTTCTTACATGGTGGCTTATGGGATGCAGCCATGACTTTAGGTAGTGATGCTTGTTGTTACCGTACATTGACCATTTGAGATGGAATAATCGAGTCCATAGTACTTGACCAGACCTGTCTGTTGATCGGTAAAATCGGCAAGGGAATCCCTGTCAAGTGAGCGGCGCTTGCAGAAAACGCCCAGAAAGATAGTCAGACTAACTAACTACCCCCGTACTCAGGGATACCTAGAGAAAGAAGATAGGAACAAGCACTAAGTTCCCCTAGACGGGTGGGATGATAATGATGTGGCTGGACGATGATTAACACATCCAACCAATAGTGAAGCCAAGGAAAAAGGAAAACACTAAATAGATCGGAATTTGTGTAGTACAAAAGTACCAACTTAATAACTCATATTCCCCCCTTGAAGTGTAAGTCTCTACTTTAGTGCGATAAACAGAAAAGGTTGCCGCAAAACCTCGGTAGCGATCAATGAATCACCTCTGCGTTAGCTCTTCTTTTTTCCCCGTGACGCACTTGACAGATTTAGTACGGAATAATGTCGTCCGTCCGAGGCTCTCTGTGGATTGCCCGACAACTGGATGAATTGTCCCGATCCACATGGCACAAAGTTGTAGGAAGAATACTACTACTAGTGGTGTTGGCATCTTCACCAAGTGGTAAGAGAGTGGGTTATGGCATTGTCTGACCGCCTGCTGTAAATGGAAGGTTATGGTAGTAGCTATTCTTGGCGGCCCAGCCTCTGCGACAATTACATTTGCCGGTCTCAGAATTGCTTCAGTTTACATTTCAGTGCTCTGCTGTAGTTTCACCATGTTCTCAGTAAACTTGATTAACTAGATTAATTCAAGTGCACGGTGAATATTTGTGGAGTATCTCTAATTATGATGTGGTGTAGTAGTTAATTCCAGACCTCAGGCAGCATTCGTCGCATTCGTAGCAGGTGGTGAACAGGAGGAAACCAACCCCAAGCTAAGCCACTTGCGGGTGTTGTGATTGTCAGTCAGTGTACAAGAATAGATTGTCCATCGCGATGGTGAAGCAAATGAGAGATTATCAGGAGAATATCGCGCAGTCGCCTCACTTGTTCAAACCTTCTGACATATTAATCACTCACGGGAAGGATTGAAGCAACTCTTTAGCACCGATGTGAGGCATTTTACACTTGCATTGATGAGCTTCAATCCTGCTCGCTATCTAGGTACCAACTTAGCCCGGGGAAGTGGTCATCATCATCAACCTTCACCCCGGTCGCAAGGGGGGGCTGTGCGATACTATCATTCCCCATCCCCCAAGGTTGTCGTCGTCATAGGGAGCCAGAGTGTACCAGTCCCTGCTGTTTTCCCCAGACAGACGCTGCTTGGCACCAACCACAAGGCTGTGGAATCGCGCACTTGGCGGGTGGAAAATGTGTGGGAAAGCGGTTGACGAAACGCCCGGAAAGCCCGTGCCGATTTGCTACATCTCCTCGGTCGGTCGGGAGAAATAGTGAAATTCCCGTCCAGCAGGAACAGGCTGCACAGTGCACCCATCACCAGGGCCAAATTCATCCACTCAGGATCATGGGAATTCAAGCAAGGAGTGACACTCCCGTCAGATCTGCCTTTTCTTCCTTCCCCAGAGCCCCAAAGTTATTCATTCACAAGGTTCTCGTGACAAGACTCGTGGTTCGTTCGTACTTTTTTCTTTGGTGGAGGAGCCGCTCTCTCCGCGACCGTGGATTGCAAGCGATCAATCATAACAATCAATTGCAAACCTAGAAAGAGGATCAGATCTTCTTACTGTTACTACATTCATCATCGGAGCCTTCCGATGAACGGTCCGCGTGCCTTCATTTAACGAATGGCCATGTCGGACCACAACAAGGCGAACAAACGGACAAATTCCCGACTAGGGAATTGGCGTCTTGGGAAGGGGAAAAGGAAAAAAAAGCACATCCACATCGGTCAGTCATCATCATCATCATCGTCGGTAGTCCGTCCCAGAAAATCTTTCTAGTCCAAAGCCAGCAGTTCCAGCACGGCCGACGGGCTCCACCGACTCTTTGTTGTTGTGGGGGATCGCACCCTATGACGATATTGCGGTCTCGCTGTCGTGTCACCGCAGACCCTCGTTCTGGTCCTTTTCCTTCTTCAGCAGGCCACACAGGACAGTCCGTCTTCCTTGTCTGGCTCGTCTGGCTCCTCTCTCGGCCCGGAGTGGACACCATCGCTGGTTATTTTCCGTCCCAAGACTCGGCCTCTGCCAATCATAGCCATGGAAGGCCTCTGGAAGCCTGGAAGAAGTTTCGAATGCTTCTTCGGCGTTTCTAGCGTCAGCACTAGCCAGGATTGCTTCACTTTCGTGGCTCACCCTCGCCAATGAGCGCTCAGAGCCGGGGGGGCTGTGTGTTGGCTGCGATTCCTCCTGCATTCCCGGCCTCCCCCATCCAATCTGCGCGGACTCCTAGTGGAAGATCATAGGAGCGGGCTCACCTGATGATGTCGCCGTGGGTGCGTTCGTGTTGCTTAGCACCGTCTGACTCTGGCGGTTTTGGGCTCCATGGTGGAGACCACCGTCCTGGCCTAATGCAAGTGCGACGTATTCCGTAGGTCGACCTGGATCAAAGAATTGAAGAAAAATGTGGTTATAAAAACCCGGGGCCCAGTCACGATGGCCAGGCAAGTCTTCCATTTTTCTTCCAGAACAATTCGGCCATTGAGCTGCTGGTCCTGTCCCTCCTACCAATTGATTCTTCCCCATCCTACACTCCATCATGTTTGCCTCCACTGCAATGGTATGTTTTCCCCGATCATCAGGGTCTCGATCCGTCTCCACTCTTCCCTCCTCCTCTCACCTCTTTCGTTCGCTCCCTCGCGCGTCACTCCCCAACTGACCTTATCGCCGCCGCAGCACCACAACATTCCATCATGCCCTCCTCTCGAACAAAGATCCTATTCGGAAAGCAGTGATGACTCCATGCAATCGGCTTTCGGATATTTCGATAACACCATGTACACCATGGCGGCGACCGATCTGCCCATGACCCAACCCTCCTTCGAACCATCCTCCTACGACTCCACCTCCTTCACATCATCCGTCAATTCCTCCCCTTTCAACGCTTACTACAACTTCACTCCTTCTCTCATGTACTCGCCGGAAACATACACTTTCCTTCAAACACAAACACCTCCTGTGCCTGTACCGGGCGGGGAATGGGTAGCACCGCAATCCACCACTCCCAGCACTGAGGTCGTATACTCTCCGGAAGAGACTTGCGACGCATTAGACAACTCTAGGTATGGTTTCCTCCCTAACAAAAAAATTTCCGACCGTAATCTAATAGACCTGGCCAGACCCGTCAAACCCTTCTCGTGCCGCGACTGCGGCAAGGCGTTCACACGTCCCGCCGACCTGAAACGGCATCACACCAGCGTCCACAACCCCGTGTTTCAGGACTGCCCAGTACAAGAATGTCTGCGCAAAGATGGCAATGGGTTTCCGCGTCGCGACCATCTGATTGAACATCTGCGCTCGTTTCACCACTGGGACGTCCCTAAGCGTCGGACGACCAAGCGGTCGCGAACCGATTAGTGTCATGATGCTTTTCCTCTGCCTTATACCCTTTGCGTCATGATGCTGTTGAATATACCCTTCTGTTTGTTGCCGGGTGATCACCCATGGCATTTTACGTCCGTCTATGTCCGCTATGCTTCTCATGTCTATGCTTATGCTTATGCTTCTTCATGTTGTCGATGACCCACGGACGGTATGGCGTTCCGGACCTCATTCTATCTATTTTCCTTTTGGCATATACCATTTCATTTGGTTTTCTTATACACATAGACATTGTGTACCAGTCACAAGTTTATTAATACATTACCTTCAACATGTCACAACATGCAACGTTTGTCTTCTCGGGAGGAACATACTGGTTTCAGCGACGGCAATGTGAACGAAGTCAGTGTAATTCTCGCCACGCCTGCGCTGCAGGTAATCGCATCGGGTAGTGGAACAGTAAGATGTAACTAATCCAAACATATCGGCATGTAACTGTCCTTATCCCGCAGTAGAATCCCCATCTCAGCCTGTGGCACACTGACACTCCCCTAGCGACTATGGATGAAACGCATATCCCGTCTTTCAATTTACCGAGTTAGTGGACTAATTGAGCCTGGTGCTATTTTTATTATGACTACCGGGGTGACACCAGAAGCAACGTTTGTACGCCATCGCGGTAAGTCTGGGCTGGGCCTAACGGCAATGCATCGCATCAGATTCCATCCCGCTGCCATCCCGGCGAATGCTGCAATTCCATCATGTTCAAGCGCATAAAGAATCATGAATGTGACGAACCATAGAATGGCTAGATTTCTCCAACCATGGAAGCATGCCGTGCCACACCAGTCAGGAATGGAGGCAGTCATGTGCACGGAACCACCCGATTCGTCAATTCGAGCACAACGTTGCGGAGTCAAGTTCCAGACCCCTCTCTCGCTCTGCAGTTCTGCATATAAAGAACAACGTTCTACGGTAACATCAAACGGTTGTGCCACCATCTACTTTGCTTCCATCTAGTACTACTACCTACCCACCAAACCTCAAACCACTTTGTCCTTGTTTTGAGTGATCAGTTATCCCATAAGTATAAAAATAGCCATCCACAATACAAAGGAAGATCAAGCTAACCCAACACAAACAGTATCTTGTACCCCTTTATCGCTGAACTTAATTCCTTATTAAGTGAAATTTCGGACACAAAACAAAGCAGAGCGGGTACCTCATCCATAGTTATCTCATCTCATCTCATCATCTCATTTACTACTAGCACTACCCAACACCTGCATCCGATAAGGATCACAAACAAACGGGAAAAGGACAAAGAAAGTTATCGCATCCCACACCAACACAACATATTCTGTGCTCCGTACCTTATTTATCCTTTAACGGTCGAACTTCAAACAAACAAAGAAACCATCATCATCATCCTTGCCCCTGTCTACTACTATCTAAATATAACATCCTCACACAAACAACGGCAGTTATCACCATCCAATCACACTTTCAGGCGAAATACTACATACCAACAGAGGCCTGGGCCTGTAACCATGGCTTTACCTCAAACGCAACACCAACCGCAAGAACAACAACAGAAGACTATTACACAACCATCCCCGCAACCAATAACCACAGACATCAAAACAAAAATGATCAAGAAAATAACCACACATCCCACCCTCCCCTCTCACCGCCGTAAGATCTACCTTGCTTTGCTATCTGTCCCCGCAGGCCGTTGGACCACATACGCTGCGCTTGCCAAGCATATTGGAACTAGTCCACGAGCAGTTGGGGCCGCAATGCGTCTGAACCCGTTTGCACCGGAGGTACCCTGTCATCGGGTGCTGGGGGGTAACGGGAAGCTGCTGGTGGGGTACTCCGGTGCTGAGGGGTCAGGAGGGGCAAAGAAGAAAGCGAAGGATGGAGTGGGGATGAAGAAGAGAATGTTGGAGGAGGAAGGGGTTGAGTTTACTGCGGAGGGGATGGCGAGGGGGTTGTGTTTCGAGGGGTTTGGAATGGGTTAGTTTGCTGTCAGTAAAGTGATATCGAGTATGGTTTATCTCATGGGATACTTTCTCTGTTGGTAGTATGGAGGTCTGTACATTATGGGAGAATGTGTAGGATAGCAATGCTGGTATCTAGTTGGTCTAGAGTGAAACGGACAAGCTCACGAGAATTTGATCAAATGGCACAAAATCCTTTCAGTTGGATAGTCTGCCAAACTTCTAAATCTAATCGAATTCTCACCATTTCTGCTAGAAACCATACGGGATGCGTCCTGACACCTTACCAAACTGCCTCTTGTATGAGACAAACAAACGCAGACGATTTAGAGAAGAAGCCTTCAATTTATAGATGATGGAATGCAATACTTTTCCAGTAGTTGGCAAATACTGGGAATGTACTAAATAATGCTATATATAGTTTGCAAAAAATCCATTTGATAGAAAGTGAGGACACTCTCAATTCCCACTGGATCCTAAACTACTTACTACTGATTGCTATGGTAAAGAATCATCATTGTTACATGACTACATGTTCCCTCCTATTCTGTATGATTAGACCATCTAGTATAGCTTTGAGGACCCCTCTTCCTCCGCTACCTCTACAATATCATCAATCATCATACAGTCGCTTCAAGTAGCTGCTACATTCATATGGATTGAACTAGTCAGTACCGTCCAGTCACCACCCCCTCTAAAGAATTAGGATGATAGCAAGTTCATGTCCTTGCTTCTCTTTGCCTAGCTCTGCTAATGGCATCACTATTACGTGGATTTAGTTGTTTGACGCTGGCAAAAGATAGCCTACTTAACGAAGCCAAGATCCCCCTACTACTCCGCAGCAATATACTTAAATCTTACGTTTCCCTGGGCACTCACCACATGGAAAAGAAGTCTCTTCGCCATTTCTATTTTACGTGATGACCATATCCTTTCTGGGACGCTAGATTATAGTACGCTGCAAATACGCTTCACGCAGCGAAAGATATAATATGACAGTGATAAGCATTTGCATAAGCAAACATGGCAACCCCGCTCGATCCCTTCTCAGCCTTGTCAGCCACCGTCCCATATCAGGCCTCGCTGCCACCTTTCTTCCCAACATTTTGTACCAGCTATGAGATCTATACCTTTCGCATTCAATTATTCGCTAAAGGATCACGTCGCACCTACCACAAGAGTTGCTACCAGGGAGAAATTTCACACAGAATGACCACCTCCCTCTGGGCGAGAGCCCTCTCCGCCCTCCCAGACAAAGATCAGCGCATGTTTCCCACGTCAGGCATTGCATCACCACCAGTCTCACAGACATTGACCGATATCATCACTGCAATCGAAATGCAGCGCGATCGTTGCAAACGCCACAAATGGACGACCACCACCATCGGTGGCAAGGAGATCATCATTCGTGATGTATGCGCGAAAATTGTAGTTTGCGAATTGTAGCTTGCATGAACAAGTTTGCCAGTGTGGTCAATATCGTTATTTCCTATGACCCGGTCCATGCGGCACTACCTTGGGCAGGAGTGCGCTTTGTGCTTCAGCTGTTCTTGAATGGAATCGAAACTTTCGGTGCTATTGTGGAGGGGCTCGAGACGTCTGTGAGGGTCATTGCGCGGGGTGGAATACTCGAAGGTTCATATTATCAGAAGAACTCTGCGCTGAGTGAAGCAAGACAGGCCTTGCAAGATGAAACCGTCAAGTGCTATACAGCGGTCTTGAAATTTTTGTCTCTGGCGAGGAAATATTATCAGTGCTCGCGAACGAGTATGTTGGTTTCAAGACTTTGTTTCGTTGTTCAGTGGCCAATATTTGGTGAATAGAACGTGCGGTTGCCTTTATGTCCAAAGACGATTTTAGACACTGCACCAAGGAAATAAAGAGTGCCGAGCAGCAATTTCTGAGACAGAAGGGGCTCGCTGATAGCGAAGGTGAGTCTAGAACGTCAGGATTGAGATTTGTTCGACTAAACTTTATTCTAGACCTAGGTAATATCGAGACACACGTTTTGCACACCATCCTTATAGCTACATCAACGGCGGACCAGGTCAATGATATGAAAGCAAAACTAGAAAAAGCCCTCCTGGACCTTGATAAGCCAGTAACACGAGTTGTGGATCAAGTTTCCGATCTTCATCGAGCTCTGAAAGGTATTAGCCAGCTGCTTGACATACGCTTCCACACAAACTAAACATGTTTAGACAACGAGAGGGACCAAACCCTGAGCTGGATATCAGCTGTCCCGGCTCAGAAACATCTTCGTGAGGCATCAACATCGCTGATGCCAGGCTCTGCAGAATGGCTTTTCCGTCACCCTGGATTCCAGGCATGGAGCAATTCTAGTAGCTCTGAGGTGCTTTGGTTGCATGGGACACGTGGGTTGAACTATGATATTCCAAAGTTTCCCTATCAAATTGACAAGAAGCCGGCTGCGGAAAGTCCAAGATCGCGTGAGTCTGCTCAATTAGGGACTAACGACGTTAGCCCTTAACTAATACAGACAAGTGCTGCTGTCGTACAGCATTTATGCCTTCAGGCTAGTAAAGTACAGCATTCCCTGCCGATAGTACACTTTTTTTGCTCGAGAAACCCGGCGGAACCAGAGCGTGGCGATGCTGGGGAGATACTCCGATCACTCATAAAGCAGCTTTCTCTATCCGCTAGTAACGATCTGATGAAGACTCCAGTCATCGAGGAGTATCGGAAACGCCTTCAAGAAGCAAATTAATATGGTGAAGGGCCAGCTGCTTTGTCTGTAGAAAGGTGCACAGAGCTTTTGTGTGAGCTTGGCCAGTCAGCCTCGGTCATACTGTTTATCGATGCTCTTGATGAAAATTAGTCAGT